GCCCATCCACCACACCCGGTGGTGGATGGGCGGCTGTTGGGGGTGCCCGGGGGACAGCTGGGGATGGGGTGTCCTGCTCAGGGACACCACGAGATGTGCACCCGGTGGTGGATGGGCTAAATGCAGAGAGCCAATTTTGCCATTGTATGGGAACATACAATGATGACAATACATTATTATTATTGAACCAATTAGTGGATCTAATTTCATGTTTCATCATTTGGAAATGAGGAGGATGGCAAAAACAACACGAACATCAAATAGACTGCTATATAAAATCGCAACATATTGCAATAAATGCAAGTCTTGTGTCTCATTTGTCAATTTGTCTGAGTTTAACAGGGATAAAGCCTTATTTCATCTCAATATTTTTAAAATAGCTTAACATTAATATCTATCTGTGAAAGAAAATTAGGAAATAACAAAAACATGTTTGCTTTTGTCAGCTATTTCACAACTGAGAAACAAAGGATGAAATAATTATAATCCAATCAACAAAGCAGCCTCCTTAACTATCGTACAAACCTGTGAGCAGGAAAAACTCGAGTGTAAAACAGTAAAATCATATTTGTGATCAGCCTTGTGTCTTAAACTAGAGAAAATGCTCTTCTTAGTGTCCTGTTCTGTCATGTCCAATGACTATCTGTCATCATTTGCTTCTGTCTGTGTCTGTTTGTTGATTTATCCAGGCGGTGTCATCGCCTGCAGTGTGATTGTCCACAGAAATTCATTCTTATATGAATCACAAGTCCCAGGAGTGATTCCTTTTTTCTTCCAGTCAGTCACATGTGGTTTACAAAGGGGATTGTAATTACTATTTTTCTACGACTGCACAAATATATAAACTTGAATATGTTTTTAAAATTAATACACTACAATAATTTATTTTATATAAACTTTCTACACACAATTCCCACTCTCTTTGTCTTTAATTTCTAAAAACGATGTGAAATAATACTGTAGTGCAATTTTTTTTTTGTCTTCAAATCTTATTTAGGGTTCACAGAACAAGTCGTGGACACGGCGCTCACTGAATGACTGGTGCAGGTGTAGATTCTCGGACATCCAGGACGTAGTAAATAAAATAAAAATTAAAACAATTTGACTTTTATTTTAGGGCTGAAGATGTTTTGATTCCCATCCGTGAGGCTTTATCAATTCAAAAAATGTCTGGAGAGTGTGGAGTTCTTTTGAATTTCAGATTAAAAAAAAAACTATTAATAAATTTAGGAAAAGTAAATAAAGGGCAGTGATACATAGCTGTAGCTTCTTCTCAACATTATAGGTTTATTTAACCAACATTTTATTTATGCAGTACCAATATTTTTTTCTGCATTTTATCAAAAGCAAAACTTTACTTGGGTGAGAAATTTGGATTACTTTTTAGCTGAAGTAAAAAAAAAACATTTTATCAAAGAAAATTACTCCACTTCTGCCAAATTAATAAAAACATACAATATAATTTTGCAAGCTGTGTGTAATATTAGTTCATAAATCTACAAGAACATGAAAAACAAGGACAAACAAGAGCACTGCTAATTAATGTGAACTTGTTAATGCAGATGAAAGAAGTAGGAGCAAGAAAATCAACATCTTCCTCTGAAGTCAAACTTTTCATTAAAATCACAAACATTTGAAGAAATCACAAATACATAGTTAAATTATTCAGTGGTTGGCATTTAACATGGACACCAATACCTTTCTAAAAAAAAAAATCATAACAGGACTTATGTCAAAAGGAAATATTCTAAGCATGTCAAAATATGAACATTACATGTTTAGGACATGAACTTTGCACAGGAATGAAGGATCTCAAGGCCATGTAGTTCCCGAAGTTTATGTATGTGTCTGAAAATGAAAAGGAGGGGAAAAAAACAATAAATAAATTGATTATATGAGGAGTATAGTCATTCAACAGAGGCATGTGTGCAACCTTTGAAAAAAAAAAAGATCATCAACAAAATTAAAGCAAAGCTTTTCACCCTGGAGCTACATTTAGAAGTGAGTCCTGCAGTCAGGACACCCACACCCGATTGTAAAAATTATACATTTTTATTATGTCATTAATCAGCGACAAACATTTGAGTTTGGTAATGACTATTCTCAAGGGTTGCTCTAGAAGCAGCTGATCAAACATGGCACTGGCTGTCCCTGAGCCACAGATTAACAATATTTTACTGAAGGAAGACACAGAGAAGAGTTTTCTGTTGAAGTGAGACGAAGCAGCAAGAGGTCAGTGGCAGTTCAACATTGTAGTGAGTCTCACGATATTTGGTCACAAAATTGTGACAATAATCATACACTGAGACATCTATAGCTCTCTGTTCATCTCTAGACCCACAATTCATATCGTAGTCATGGTTTGGCGTAACAGTGTAAATAATTGTTAACCATAACTTTCTAGTTAGCTCTTTGAACAAGAAATAGAGAAATAGTGGAAAGTGTAATCTATGTAAATAGTAACTGTTTAACACAAAACGACATTATATAAATATGGATAAGGTAGAAGTTGCATGACTCACCATAACATTTTTTAGATTAAAGTTATTTAAACATGTCAGCACTTCACTTTGATATAGTATATTAAAAATACTGAGGTCAAATAACTAGATCTGTTTAGAATTCCCAAGATCCAAACAAAAGTTCAGTACTTTAATAACAACTTTGTAGTTGCGGCATTAATTTTCTGGAACAAGTTAACTGTTCATATTAAAACTAGAGCGTGAAAATTTGAACGTGCTCTTAAAAACCCATCACTAACATTTAAGTTAGCTGGAGATTTACGATTTGTTTTGTTTTATAGGATGTTTTTACGTCTTTATTGCAGGAATTCAACTCAAAAGGGGAATGAAACAATTCTGACAATTTTAATTACAAAGTCATGATGAACTTTTTGGGTCATACAAAACTTCTGCTTTCACAGTTAAAGCCTTTAGAGCCTCATGGAAAATCTCCTGATTTCGCATCACATTACACAAATAGCTATAGCCCTACCGTTATTATATTACTAAATAAAAAGACCAGACAAAAACTGTTTCTCTAACTTTTTAAGTCACGTTTTAGTTCCATCATAACCTCTTAGGTGTGCTATTTAATTTTTAGTTTGTTCTTAGCCTTTTTTTAATTACACTTGTGGTTTTTAATGTTTGATATTTCATTTATTTTATTGCTATATTTCCTGTTTTTGAAGCACTTCGGTCAACATTGTTGTTTTTAAATGTGCCATATAAATACATTTGACAGTGACTGTGATTTGTGCATGTGGTGTGTAGTTTTATGCCCACATGTAGTTATGGGAGACTTATGACAGTGTCTTATAATCAGAACTTCAGCTCATATTGATTCTTTTTTGTCATAGTTTGTTTTAAGCCAGAGCTGCAAATCTGCACTCAGCAGTTTGTGTCTTAAATGTGTCAAGTTCAGAACAGCTCAAGGCCAGTTTCTAAGATGCAATTAACTTGTGGTTTATCAGTGAAGTTGAGAGGCACCTGGGCTCAGATTGACACAGTTTCCCAAGGGCAATCGCTGCATTTTGCTGCACAGCTGTCTTCTTAGCATCCCCTGCAGCAAGCTGTAGCAGTAGCAACACAATATCAGTTCCCAACAGGCGGGTGGCGACTCCTTCCTGTTGGAAGCAATGGGCCAAGCACAGAGCTGCATTTCCTGAAATCATCTCATCACAGCTGAGATTCAGCAAATGACGTAAAACGGACAGTTCTGTGTAGAAGAGACAAACATAAAGGGAACAAACATTAATCCACTGCTTGTTAAAATGACTGACAAACGCATGCAATGATGTAAAAATCAGATAAAACAAAACCAGATACACTTAAGATGTGGATCTAAACACACCTATCCACAAACACCTTACACAATTTAAATTCTGTATCAGAGTTTATTGCTCACAGTATTCGCAAACTAACGAAGGAGCTTGTTAATGCTAGCCTGTCGATCATTCCTCACTTTTATCAGACTTCACCAGCTCTTCCCGTGCAAAGTCACTGGCAGCAGTGCAAACTGTCAGTGTCTTAATGGCATACTTGGTGGCAGTCTGACCTTTTCCCTGGATAGACAAGAAAAACAAAAAACACGTGACATTAAACAAGAAGGATTTTTTTTCTCTGTTCGTAAATAATAACTTTCAGTCAGAACTCAAAAGCCATGAAGAAAACACTTGGATAAATACATTTTCATCTTATTTTAAATCAAGTTATGCAACATGACTAATTCCAATGCTATTAAAATGTTAACAGTTTTCTAAGAAGAAATGGCATTTAGTTATACACAGTTGCACAACCTTCAGCAGCTTCAACATGGTCTGAACGACTTCCCTTTGAGTAACATGCAGAACAGCTTCAGAGGAGTGAGGAAGGACTGCGCTAAGGACACCTGTGGCTCTCTAGTGGATAAAGGAAAGAGGTGTTAGCATTAGAAAAAAATAACAAAATAAGACAGAGGTGGATAAAAACAGCACAGGGAACAAGAGAGCAAGAAACAGGACAGAGACAGAAAGGAAAACAACAAAAATGACAGTAGATATGATCATTGCAATCGTTTCTTTCATAGATTATATAGGAGAAACAAAACAGTTATATTTTATCTTGTATAAGTTCCTAGAGGGCGAGCCCGTGATCGGAAAGTCATCGGTTCGGCTCCCGGGACAGACGACTTCGAAATGTGGGTGGGAAAAGTGAAGCACCCACACTTGCCTCCTCACTCTTTTGCCTCACTCTGGACCCTTGAGCAAGGCCCTTAACCCCCACCATCTGCTCCCCCGGGTGCCTTAGATGGCACCCTCTTCTCCACACAGAAGGATGTGGTAGCTCGATGGTCTGTGGTTGTGTCGGGAAGGGCATCCGGTGTAAAGACAACTGACAAGTCCTCGTGTGAGTTAGTTCATTGTGGCAAACCTTGAAGACGGGAGCAGCTGAAAGAAGAATTAAAAAAAAAATCCCCACAAAAATACTGCTAAAACTACAATAATCAAGGCAAAAACACGCTGTAAACCATCATAAACAAAGCAATCTTAACAACTGATGTTTTTCTGTCGACTGTATATTGTAGATCAAGGGTCGCCTTCTTCTCTCTTTGGGAATTGAAGCCTGCAGGACCTGGTTTACAGAAGCTGTTGTGTATTTGGAGTCTGTGCATCAGGACTGTAGGGATTTAATTCCTGCTCACCTTCCCGCAAACAATCATGTTGTCACATGGCTATTCTGTTTAGCCACAAACACATAATTACAGCTAAACATGTTGGAAAAATAAATATTTAAACATACAGCAGCAAGACAAGAATGGGTCAGGTTTTGAAAAAAGGGTGATTTGTTTATTTTATTTTTTATTTTTTATCCAGGCCAGTGTTTCATTTGTTTAACAGAGGAGATGGGACAAAAAGTTTGTACTGGAACCAGCCTGCAAAAAATGTTGGTCCAGGCTTCAACTATCAAGTTTCAGTCCGAGGTCACATACTGGTAGTCTATGCTTTTTCCTTGAGAACATAGTACTGGAATTCACTTTAATAACACAAATGGGTTTATTTTATGTGAACTGGTAGCCTTCAAATGTTTGCTTTCTTAAGTGTAGCACCAAGGTAAACATTCTGACCTTCCAAGAGAGAGTCAAAACGTATCTGATGTTTTTAATGAAAGGGTCACAGTTTCAGTGATAACCCTGTTAGCTTACTGTAATGTCAAGTTGACAAGAAGATACTTTTGATTTTTCTTCACTCACAAGATCCAGTGAACCAAGGAAACTGAATATCAAATGAGTGTATTTAGACAAGCTGAGAAAAATATATTTACTTTGATGTCTGGAGGTTAAAACGAAGAGAACATTTCTAGGTTTCTAGCTTAAGAAGGGGTGGCTCAGTTGGTAGAGCTGCTGCCTCTCAGCGAGACGGTCGCCGGTTCAAATCCCTGTCAGGAACCTTTCTGGGTGGAGTTTGCACATTCTCTCCGTGCATTTGTGGATTCTCTCCGGGTACTCCGGTTTCCTCCCACAAACCAAAAACATGCATGTTAGACTGACTGGTAACTTTAAAATGTCTCTAGGTGTGAGTGACAGAGTGAATGGTTGTTTGTCTCGTTTGTCTCTATGTGTCTCTGTGATGGACTGGAGACCTGTCCAGGGTGTCCCCCACCTCTTGCACAGTGACTGCTGGACATGGGCACCAGTGACCCCCGTGATCCAAAAAGGAAGATGTGGGTAAAGATAATGAATGCATGAATGGATAGATTAAGATGTGGGGTCAATTGGACTAATAGACTAAGTGCAAAAATGCTAATGTGAAGATTGTGACATATAAAATGAATGTGAACATAAAATAATGAGAATGGTAAATGAGAAAAACAAAAAAAGAAAGAACAAACATAAAAATATTGACACATACAATGTAATAGTGTTCATCACAAGAATTTAAATGCATAAAGAATATTAATGAATACATTTGTCAAAAAATTGGAAGTAATAAATGCGGTCACACGCTAATTATTTTTACATTTTTGTCATTGCAATTTTTATAATTATTATTATTTTATTTTTAAAAAGTCTCAAATTTAATGTGCAATCAGTCACAATTTTGGAAAAAAAATGATAATCTTTCTTCATGTACATCAACAGTGGGAATAAATCTCTTGTAACTTGACAAAGTCGCCCATCTGCCTTCTTAAGAAAATAAGGCAGTAATAAGTTTGTCCCACAGTCCCCGGTAAGGTTAACAAATCTTTGAACAGTGTTCAGTTGTCAACGTGATGTTTTAAAATGAGTCTTTAGTTTCTGACACTCCTTATCTCTTGCATACATGCATGCTTTTCTGTCTCGCCTCACCAAAGCTATCTCCTTAATGTACACAGAAAATAAAAGACTTTTTATTTTTTAATTAACCTTCACTCTGCAACAAAAGGAAAAAGGTAAACATATGCAGCGAGGTGACTGAAGATTTATTTCCTTTGTTGTTCCTTTATCATCCAGTTCAGGTTTGCAAAGAACTAGAGTCTGTCCCAGCTCTTACTGGACACAGAAACATTAGATTCCTGCACTGGTCAGGTTCCTAATGTGACCACAGAGGAAAACAGATCAAAACCTATATGCTCTCACTCTTATTCTGTTTAGAATAATCACTAAATACACTGGTTTTGGGACTGTGGAAGAAAAAACAAAAGCCCAAAGTAAACCAGTTGGATCCTAACGAACACAGAATCTCCACACAGAGTTAAAGGCCTAGCAATGCTTCAAGGTGTAAGGATAAAGCTAAAATCATACTTTCTAACACTCTGCTGTCAATAATCAATTACACACATGTTGTGGGAATGTGGGAGAAAGATCAAGTGTTAGACTGAACAAGTCTAACACTTAAGGAATACAGAAACTTAAAAAAACAACAACTGAAAAACAAACATTTATGTTTTCATTAATTAACAGTTTAGAGTTACCAATTAACTACCTGGAGAAAACCAATGTGAGCAGAGGGAGAACATGCAAACTGCACATAGAAAAACCGGGAGGTGACCCTGTGACCTTCTTACTGTGAGGTGACCCCCTGATCATTGTGTGAAAAAACAAAATGTTTCTGTGAGCATAAAAAGTAGATGAATGATTTATAAGGTGGAATGCTTTGAAATGCATACAACACCACTTGGATCTTGATTTTGAGTTGTCTGTTGACAAAAACATATCTACTTTGTGGATTGTTCTTATCTGTACAAACATATAAACATATTATTTGCATTTGTTTACCAATTATATAGGGGCCTAAAACTGAAAAATCAAAGTTCCAACTTTTATTGGGTCTTTACTGAGTTCAAAAAGTTACTAATTATTTATTGGGGTTAAAATTGTCTAAACGCTGGAGAAAAATGCTTGCCATATTTTTCACTATATAAGTTACATCTTTTTGCATAAATTTGCAAGCCCTGCGATTTATATGCCAAAGTGACTAATATACTCCCCCCCCCCACCCCCCATATTTATAAAGCAATTTTTGGTTGAGATTTGACATTTCATTCATTCTGACATGGAAAATATTGAACACTACCTTTTTCAGCCACTAGATGGCCCTCGACCTATATGGCAAGCCAAGTGTCTCACTAATAGGTAAAAGTGGCTGTTATTGAGACACTTGACTTGCCAAACAAAGCCAACTTCATCTCGCTACGGACCTCCTAGTACAAACGTCAAATCAGCTTCATGTCGCCATGCTGCCCAGGTGAAATGCAGCTGATTTGACCATTAAAGTGCATTTAATAAGGAAAAGTTAAACTGAGACACAGTTTTGCTATAATGTCGAGCAAACAAATAATTGTTGTTAGGTGGTGATCTTGTTAAATTTCGAAGAAATGCACAGCGAGTCCTCCCTCTGTGTGCTCCCGCAGCCGTAAATTGATTTTTGAAATGCAGCTGATTTGACTAATATAGATAATATATGGAGTAAGGAAAAGTTAAACTGAGACACACCTTTGCTATAATTTCAAGCAAACACATAATTGTTTTTAAGTGTTAATCTTGTTAAATTCTTGTTAAAGTCTTCTCGTGCATGCTCCGGCGGCTGCCATTTGGCACAACACCAGCCCACGTTTCCGGGTGGTCAGCGGTGATGCATAATAGATGCGATTTATATGGCAAAGCAACGTATTTATGTGTTTTTTTTCCCCACTTTATTAGACATATTTGGACTGATGCCACTTATACGGCGGTGCGACGTGTACGGCGGAAAGTATGGCATGTTAAGTTTTTCTTACTGTTAAAATTCCTCCATCAGCATTCTTTAGCAGGTCTAAGCAGCACTCGCAGAGTGAAACAGCATGCTCCTTTAAAAAATAAAATGGGATATGTTAATTTTCGTGCACACAAAATAATTGAAATCACACCTCATGCATCACATACTCCTGCACAGCTAGTTCAATGGATTTTAGCACATGAACAAAATTTTCCACTTTCTACACAAATATCCACAAAGACTCAAATATTGTTTTCATTTCAAAACTCATAACATATTGAAGTATAACCACCTCTCTCTCACCTGAATTGCTGGAGAGCTGACCCTTGAAAGGTTGATAATCAAGTCAAGTAAATGGTACAGGATCTCTTTGTATTCTGAGACACTGCATTGTTTCTGGGAAGAAAAAAAGACCATATTCTGAAAAAAAACAACTCAAAAAGCAATGTGCTAACACTTCACTGAAGTGTTAGATTTTTTTTTAGCATTTCAGCTTAACACGATGAACAGCAATTTACACTTCTTGAAAGAAAGAAGCAGGTCTGTAACTGTGCTTACAATGGCAATCAGAAAAGCTTTCCAACAGTCTTGATTGTGAGAAAGATTTTGACAAATGACATCATCTCGAGCCAAAAACCAGAGAGCAGATATCAGAGATGGAAGGACTTGTTGATTAGACTTGTTGATATTTCCCTGAAAAATGGAACAAAAATGTGTCTTTCCCCCTCCCCCACCAAATAATACATATGAACAGAACTTTTGTATTTTCAAGATGTATTTTACCAGCATTGTTGTAAATGGAACAACAGCACAATCTGTCAATACATCTCTCAGCTGAACACAAAACCTGCAAGAACAGAATAACGGTCCTGTAACAAATGTCTACATTTATTTTTCCCGCAATATTTAGACACCATTCTAAATAGAACTATACTCTGATTATATATATGCATATATGCATTGATGGGTCTGAATCAGGTTACACTTGAGTACTATCATTCAAGTAAACTTTTTATGCATTAACAAAAATGAGCATACTGTACATGTATAGGTCAAATGCTCATTTTGTATTACTAAGACATTCATCACATACAGGAATTAACATACTTTTCTTCCCCAAAAAATGTTGCATCAGAAAGAAATAACATTAAATTCAATCTTGGTTAAAATATTCACAGCTCAGCATGAACCAAGTAAAGTACTTCAACAGCAAGCAATAATTTAATGGGGGAAAAAATTGCAATCTACTTTTCAAACTGGAAAAGCGTTAAGTCCATAAAAGCCCTGATCAAAAAAGCACTATGTGGTCTCGTTCCTGACGTAAAAACACTTTTTAAACCTACACGTAAGTAACGTTTGCATCATACAGAACAAGTGAATATGGTCTCATGTCTCGTTCATCAAAGACTGTAAGAGGCAGCTCATTAAGAGCTGTTGTTGCAAACATAAAATCTTAAGTATACTTCTTGTCTTATATTTTTAGTGTATTATGCTACGTGACCACCTGTGTGCAAATCTTCATGCATTTAATAAATGTTTCACATTGACAGATTTCTGTGATCAAAAAATCAATGTACAGCACATTTGTATTATTTATTATACTGAAACAAAAACATCACGTTCAACACTGACCCAGGTCAGCCTCCACAATAAGCAGGAAATCTCTATAGGATATACCACATTTACAATAACTCTCTCTGAGCTACAGACAAGGAAAATTGATTCCCCCATTTCACTGCTTGACACCTCAACTTATTTCCTGCTGTGTGTTGAGAGCCTGATGTGTCTTTTCATGTCTATTTTCAGGAAGTGCCAGAAAAGGGAAACCGGTTGAGAATGGCCTCTGCTTTAGTGTGACATTAACACCTGGATAGTTGATTTATTAAAGATGCCCCACACTGTGTTTCTCTGGAGAGCTGTCCTGATGTGATGTGCTGTTTATCATATACAGACATTATGTATGGGATGACAGTAGACTCTATAAATGTCATTCTGAAACTAAAGTAACACATTCTACAGTGTGAGATTACCCTTAGAGAATTTTATTTAGCTGTTTAGCATTAGCATTATTACCCATCTTCAGCTGCTAAGTTCTCCAAAATGTAGACTGCCGTGTTCTCCTGCTGCTGCTTTGGTTCTGAGATGCACAGCATGAGGTTCCTTACTAACCTTTAAAGAGATAAAGATGTAGGGAAGCACAAGAGACAAAGAAATGAAAAGAAAATCTAATCAAATTTTATATTTTTATTTATTTATTTTATTTTTATTTTTTGATGAACATTTAGCTCCTAAAACATCAAACTAAGACCAAAGTCTAATCTTTTTTTTTTTTTTTCAAAATTAAGGTCATCAATTGATGATGTGCAAAAAAATAGTTTATTTCAATGAGAGAAAACTTTCTAAAATAGTATTAAATGTTTACTATTTAAATTCTATTAAATTATTTTGCCGCCATCGTGTTTCAGTTAAGTGGACAAGGACTGCTGTTGCTGCTCTTGCAGACTTTGTGTGTGTGTGTGTGTGTGTGTGTGTGTGTGTGTGTGTGTGTGTGTGGTGAACATAGCGAAATGTCTTACATGTGCAAGTTTAGGTTGTCAATAGCCAAACGTCTGCCATGTGGTGTTTTAGAGAACAAACGCAGTAATGTTAGACATTCTTTCACAACTGCAGGATGCTCCGATGTCACCAACTGAACAAGAGACAGTCTACTGACTGGACACGTCATCAACATTTTCTGGTTTTCATCTGAAACCAAAGACAAAAAGGACTGTTTAAGAACAACTTGTCCACACTGAACACAGTTCCCAGGGAATAAGCTTTGGATTATCAGAAGTAGTAAAAACAGCAGATTACATTGTGTAAATTGAAAATAAACATCAATGATGAGCAGTAATGACATTATACCAAATGAAAATATATTTGTTTTAATATTGACTTTTTTATACATACTTGGAAAAATCATTGAGAACACATGAAGAAGGGTATATTTACTCACCATTTTCACAACAAATGACTCTCCATAATTTTAGCACAGAAGCACACACCTCTTGGCTGTCCTGGTCATTTGTTGTCTGCAACAAACAACTGTGGAAAACATAGACCCGAAAATTTGAATACAATCAATTCTGTCATTAAGTAAATATCAAAATTGTGTAGAAATAAAATTAAACTCCTGCTTTAACATGTAACATATTTTCTCATCTTTACTTAATGATAAAATATTTGTTACAAATAATACCAAAGAGGATGAATATGATCAGCGTGGTGTTTGAAACTCTTCTAAAGAACTTTCTGCAGCCAGTTTTCAGGAGCTACAAAACAGTCTCCTATTAGGAATTATTGAATTGTAGAACCATTATGTGTTTAAAAATAAAAACAAGTGCACAAATCCCTGTTTTACAGGCATATACCAGAACTAAAATTAACGCATTCTTAAATGGATAGTTCAGATTTTTAGAAGTGGATTTATGTTACGATTATGAAGAATTAGCATCTTAAAATATCTCTTGGAACAAACTCATTCTGGAAATACAAAGTTTAATGTTTACGAGATTGACAAGATAACAACAGGTCCATGTGGAACCCAGAACAAAGTGGTTTGCTTTTACTGGTCCGTGATCCAGGCTGCACTGGAAGTGCTACAGCTAGCTGCTGCTGTTTGAGCTTACAGATGCAAACAGCCTTACAATTCTACATAAGTACACGTGTAATAGAAAACTAATGACAAAGTTCAGGTTTGTAAAATTGGTTTTGCATGAACAGCTATAAAATGTTTGAACTTGCTCTCTTAGAAAGGATGTGTTAAAATCCTACAATTCAGAACCTAAACTTGACATCATTTTTGCTAATTGACAATGCAACTGATATTGTCAAGCCAAGTTTGTAATACAGTAGACCCTCGTTTATCGCGGGGGGATCCGTACCCTGAACACCTGCAATAACTGAAAAACCGTGAAGTAGGAATAGTAGTATAAGTAGTAGTTTATTTTATTATCTATATACATATATAAATGAATTTTAAACCTTTCCCACACTCTTGCAATATTCTAAACAATGTTTCTAAACTCTAAACTCTCTAAAAGAGCACAGAATGTCATGATTTGCCTCTCTCTGCCTCCACTGCTCTCAGCCACCTGCAAGCTCTCTGCGCTCTGCACGGTGATCAGCTGATCAGCTGCAGCAGGAAGCTTATCCTGCAGTAAGGGCTGCAAAAAGGTGCAGGGGGAAGCTTTTTCTGCAGCTCTGGGCTGCACAGATGTGTAGTGGGTGCTAAATAATTTTAAATAATTCATTTTAAATACTGTAAAACTTCCATGCAGATCGTGCGTGCGGCTCATCCATCAATCAACCAATTGTGTGTCATGTCCAGTCTTGTTTTGAAAAACTGAGATAGAGCGAGTTTGCGATAAACGAACCACGATGTAGCGAGGGACTACTGTATTTCCATAAGGAAAGAGAGAGTTGTCTGAGGATGGTCACAATCTACTTTGGTCTTAAACACACTCGGACTAGCTGTTAGCTTGTCAAATGGGTCAGAGTTAAACTGTGTTTTTCCAAACTGGGCGTTCTTTAAAAAGCTGTCGACAACAGGTAAAGTATTAAATGTAACAAACTTAAAGCTCTATTACTTTATGCTATACTACACCATTTAATACATTTTCCTTGGACCATGAAAAATGTAGGTTTTCTGTATTGTTTTCAAGTTCTCTGAAGAAACTTCTGGATTGTCATCAGGAAGGGCAACATAAACAGTGACCTTTTTAACGCCGCAGATTACATTGGTTTTGGTCAATGCGTCTGCCTAAGATTAGCATCATTACTGGCTATTTTTATTGAGCTTGAGCTGCACTTTCCTTGCACTCTGACAGTACTAAACTTCCCAGAGACCGTGTTCCAACTTGATTCATGACAGTGCTATTAATGACAACATGGATCTGACAAGCTAATAACATCCTTAGTGATCTGACAGAAGGGGCGACTAATTTTTATCTTGTGCAAAACACTCCTACATTCCAGGACACGACACAGGGTCATTGCTCACTGCAGCACTCTATCTCTATCTTTAGTGTAATCACCTTTTTGGGGAGTACTATTACACAAACAGCTGGACAGAAGAGGGGAAAAAGGGACAGTGAATGATCTCTCTAGTTTAGGCCATCATTGTCTCTGTATGCCCCTGTTTCTGGGTTCATCTGTCAAAGCTCCACTGAGAACTGACTCCTACCTCTCCCTCTGGTCTTCTTACCTCTTCACCACATCATTGTTGCTGATGATACTAAAGCCATTGTTCAGTCTGAAGAGAGACTGTCCTGTACCTGTTAGAGGAGAACAGCAGATAGTGCAAGAAGACAAAAACGTATTCATTGCTTGGTAGAAGAGAGGCTTCACAAACAACACTTTTCTATGTTTAGCTCGTCTCGCTTTCTGGTTTACCATCAAGGGCACAAGAAGAACAAATAAATTAGGCTGGGCCTGTAAGGTACAGTAAGGAGAGTTTCATTTTCTTCTTCTAAGAAACAGAGTGCAGAAAGTAAAGATGTGAAGGGGCACTTTTAGAGGAGAAAGCTTGTAATGTCAACCCTGCTGGGATTCTTGCAGTTGTGAGTTATATAAGTCGTGCCCTTTCCTGTTGAATGGCACCGTGGGATAAGGATTAACACAATTTGACATGGCACTTTTGTTTAAGAGTACTCATATATTAAATATTTATCATTCTACAGAGGAAAGCTAACACAAATAATCATGTTCTATTGCAACTATACAAAGATCAAAGCGAGAAATTTAGCATTACACTGTGCGTAGATTATTGCTTTCATTTGTTAGTTTCATTAATTTCACTAACCTTGTCAATTGTTATAAAATTTCAAAGATTGTAAAAGAGTATTAGTCATACAGAGCACGTAAGCGCAAATCACAACTTAAATTTTAGATTGAAACACGGGGGAGTGGTGGCGCAAAACTTACGAGGAGGCGAAGCTGGAATCGGGAGAGCGCTAGTTCTTTATGTCAAAAACGTGGATAGGAAAGCTGTAGCACCTGCAGCTGCCTCACTCTGGGCACCTAAACAATGCCCTTAACACACCCACCTGCTCCCCCGAGTGTGCTAGCTCGACACATGCGTAGCTCAGTGGTTGTGTCAGAAAGGGCATACAGTGTGAAAGCAACTGACAAATCTTCATGCATGCCAACTATTTGCTTTAGCAAGATAAATGAAATGTTTGATTGAAATACAAAAATGAATGCCTGTGAATAGTTTATTTTTTTACTTTCTTCTAATAGGCGTTCAAAAAGCTGCTGTTTCTGCACTTTGACATGAACACAAATCATCAGGGTGGACTTTACAAGTAATTTGTTGGGTTAAACACATTCTCATCTCTTACTCATTTTTTTAAATCTCTGGAATCAATGACCAAGAAGTGAGATAGGTCACTAACTTATTCCAGTGCTAACTTATGTTAGATGCACAAGACTAAATATCACATGCACATCTATGGGCAATTGAGAGTCTCAGACTAACAGAACATGTATATTTTTGGACTGTAGTGAACACGTGGGTACGTGCCACTAGTTGTAGTATGACAATATATGAGATATATATTGATACAATATTCACGAGTTCCTCATCTTTCTGACTGTGTAATGTCGTGCATTGAATTTAACAGAAATGTAACGAGAGACGTCATTTATCTTTGACCCATCAAAATGAATGCGGTCATTTATTTTCAGAATCAAAGTTTAACATCAAACATTTACATTAATTTGGCAAAATATGAAAATAATAACAGACAAGTTTCACAGAAAATGAGCATCGATCACTCGGCGGTGAACGAGGACTTTGCTTCAGATATTTCTAAAATATCTGTACTGATTTTATGAGAAAGAGGAGAGTTTTAAGATGACATGGAGATTTATCTTACAGAGAACTATGTGAGGGAATTAATCTGTTTGACCAGAACGTGCACGCTTCATCAGATCTCAGCTCGCCTCCGGTACACTTTAGTCGAAGAAGAGACCGTTACCTGGTAGATGATAGATCAGCTCGATAGAGAATCCTCCAGACCTTTCAGCGTCTCCGTTGAGAGCGGCTGAAATCCTTAGATAGTCGTGTGTGGTTTGTTCAAACAGAAGTTGTAATTCCAAAACGTCTCTGGACCATCTTGAATGCGTTTGCACCCAAGAATACTGAACTCCTTTCATTCTTCAGAACTTTCAGACTCTTAATTGTCAGCAACTCTGTACTCTCGAATCCTCTGGAATTCTTCTGAATTCTCTTCCCTTCTCAATTCTAACATGAACTGGGAAGTTGCCACATTTAAAATGGGTCGACTTCCGGTTCATTTGAGAGCTTTTGATTGGTCGATGGACCAGAAAGAGGTGTGTTTTTGTGATGTAAGATGTTATCATAAGTCAAGGATTGTTTTCAACATACAGAAAAGATTATTGCAGACGACCAGACTTCGTGGAGTCTCACGCTGTTGTATCTTCTCAAATAGTAAAACATGACATTTCTTTTTCAGTAAACATTTAGTTGACCGAAACTTCAACTTTCACATACTTACATTACTTGGCTCATTTCAGACAGAGAATCAAGAAATGCATATTAACCTGATTTCTTCTTTAAATGAGGAATAAAAATCATTACTTACTGTTTATGTAAAATAAAAATGAGTAGTTCTTTCCAACCTGTAAGCATTGAATGGAACTAACACAATTTGATTATCAAACATTTGTAAAACAGTAAATGATTATAGAGAATTGTCTTTTCTGCTTGATTAATTCAAGAAAGAAAGTCACCAGATGGCTCAGACTGTATTCAGATCAATGAAAATAACAGTCTCTGTCCATCTGATAGATTTGAGGTCATCAGGGTCAGATCAGGGTCAGATCAGGGTCAGATCAGGTTCACTACAGGACCATGGAAGAAAGTCAAAGTACATGGCCAAAATCGATGCATGCATGAGGAGAAAATGCAAACTGCACACACAGTCACCGGTCGAGAGGTAAACTTGCGATCTTCTTGCTGTGAGACAATAGAACACTACACTATCATGCAGCTGCCGAAAATATTTCAGAAAAATGTCAGCAGCTGAGAAAGCAGGTGGAGAAATTTAGGAAAATGATGGACTGACACATTCCCAAACAGCCAAGACAACTTGGTAAAGAAATGTTACTGTCATATGGTTTGAAGGAGATTTTATAAAATGAGCATGAAATCCCCATAACCACAGGACAGTATGACCATACAACTGCCTTGGTTGAGAGGAACAGATATACAATGGCAGATCAAGAATCACATGTTAAGATAAAATAGTATTAAATGAAAACTATTCAATTGTAACAATTCAATTTAAGAAATTAGGTCAATTTGTCCTCCAGTAGTCTAAGCCTATAGCAGAATAACAAGTTAACCCTAACTATAGGATTTATCAAAAAGGAAAGTCTTAATCCCAGTCTTAAAACTGGACAATGTGTCAACCTCATGGACAGAAACTGGAAGTTGGTTCCACAAGAGAGGAGCCTGATAACTGAAAGATCTTCCTCCCATTCTGCTTTTGGAAATTCTAGGAAATGTAAGTAAGCCTACAGTCTGAGAGTGAAGTGCTCTGTTAGTAAAATATGGAACAATACGATCTCAAATATAAGATGGAACTAAGTTGTTGAGGGCTTTGTAGATTAGAAGTAAGATTTTGAATTCTATTCTGAATTTGACATTTATAAATATTCAAACATCGTGATATTCTAGCAACAGACAGTTAGTTGCACAGAACATGTTGACTGCAACTTGGTTTGACTCCATGTAAAATTATCTGTATATTATACGATTTCACAAAGCGGGCTAGTTTGACCAGGTTTATGTAACTGTTTGGTGCAAATAGACACTCTGGAACAATTAATGCTTCATAAATACTTCCAACAACACAACTTAAACAAAATAATAGATTTATAAGGTTGTGTTTTTATAAACAAAACTTTTCATTTCACTATTTCATTTATTTATATTTATTTGTTGCTTATTTCAGTTACCGGACTTGTTTCTCTGAATTGTAGCTATTTGTTGAATGAAAGCTCTATGTTATTGTACTTTGTATACATCTTTCAGCAGTACCAAGTTTTGTGCTACGTTGACAGTGAAAAAGAAATTATTCCAGGTTTGAAAAATACGAGCTCATTTTGTATTACAAAACAAGACTACACTCAGAAATACAACACACTTGACACATTCGATTACTATCAGGTAAAAGTTATTTTAAGACAACAATCTGATATTCATAAAAATAACTGACTTGTTTTATAATGCATGCAACTGACACAGGTATTGTAATGATAACATAAAGGTGTTAAAGCACCTTGAATAGTCCTCACATTTTTCCTTATCAGGTGGTTTCAACTTGTGTTGTACCAAACATGAAAGTATTTTATATCCAAGTTGTGTGACTGAATATTTTGCCAAATCAACGTTTTGTCTCATGTGCCCTTGTACTGGTTTTGTGATGGGCTGACAACTGTCCAGCATGTACCCAAACCACTTGCCTGATGACTGTTGGAGATATAAGCCCCCTAAACAGAACTGCTGATGCTTAAGTGTCAGTTATAGAGTGGATCACTTTACTTAGTTAATTTGAACATGTTCTTGTTTTCTTTATTCGGGAACAATCAATAAATTGAGTCCAGTCCAAAGCATTTTTGTAACACTCTGCTTTTCAACTTTGAAAGAATATATTTGAGTTGTTCACGTAACTTAAAGCATTGTCTTGATATTTAGAAAACACTGAATAAATATTCTGGATTTTATGACTACAGAGTAAACAAGCAGACTAAAGGAAATAATCTAAATAGTGGCGATCAATGAGACTAACATTTTGAAACACTATTGAAACACAAACTAACAAAATAGTGTTTCATGAAAACCAAATATTTCAGTGAAAAATACTAGAAAGATAAGGCTAGCATCTTGTTGTGCCCCCATCAATACAGAAGACCTTAGGTTCATCATAGATCTACAGAATCAATAGGCAGCATTTAGTTGATGCCTTTAATAATGGTAGGGTTAAGTGCAGACAGACCACTGAGAATATGAGCTAGAGTACTTTTATCACGGATCTTTGATGAAATGGGACTCATGACAGTTAGAGAAGGCTTTTAGGTGTTTAAGGCATACCCCATAAGAACATTTAGCTGGAATAGCTGATGTGTTTAATATTGCTAACAGAACAATCAGCATGCTTTGCAAAAAACTGAACAAAATGATCTTTACTAGAAAGACAAAAGCCTTGTACAGTAGAACAAAGTGCTATAATAATAAAAAAAAAAACTCATAAAGACCACCTACACTCTGTAAACACAGCCAACTCCAACACTTAAAGGTTCTTGTCCAAGAACACTATGAACACTTTTAGACTTGAGTGAGGAGCATGTTGCAGTTTCCCTAAATGCTGGAAGCACTTTGTGAGGAGGAACTTGGTTGTTGATGGAGTTGTTCTGTTTGTCAGCTGTGTAACACGGTCATCTTTGGAATTTTTGTGCATTGGTGCTGATTTCTTTCATTCAGGCTGTAACAGCCTCATCGTTTCCATGAACTAAGCCTGGCTACTCTATTGAGGTCTGACTACTTTGTGTCACATCTGGTGAATTGATAGAATTTAGTTTTACACTGTTTGATAAATAACTAATTGATAAAGCATCTGGAATTGTTAAATGTTAAGTGAACTATGTTTATGTACAGCTTTCTGCTCCTGCTTACCACTCAAAGCACCTTAACATTACAAGCCCTGTTTACCCATTTACACATGCACTCCCACACTAATTACCCACTTGAGCAACATGGAGTTCAATGTATTGCCCAAAGACATTTTTGTCACATTTGAAAGCTGGATAACTGTGCAACAGTATTTTTTACTGCTGTGCTGTTTTTAGCTGCAGTACGGTTATATTGCATATGCTGAACAGGTGAAAATGGAGTCTAATCTTATTTCATTTGTCAGAAAATGACCAAAATTCATTTTTAAAACCAGCTTCACTGCATAAGGATGTGTTCATTCTGATCACTTTACTACTGTAGTTATGTCTCATTTTCACCTTTACTATCTTACCAAAACGCTCTTGTGCTATAATTTTAGGAATAAAAAAAGACTAAACCTGCAAGGTAATTTAATCAAGGCAAATTAAAGTCAGATATTGTAAAAAGTGATATTTTTAAAAGAACACTCACAGTCAGTAACTGCTTGTGACAGGATTTCCAGTCCTCCACAGTAAAAGAGGGGCACCTGGTTCATCCTCGACAGTTTCTCCAGCAGTTGGGGCACTGCTGTGGCCTTCGTTTCTCCTTTTACAAGATCTTGCCTCGCATTCATTTCCTGACGTTCTCTTTCTTCTTCCACAGCTACCAGATCCAGGTATTCTTCAAAGTAAAAAAAAAATTGGCAAAGACAAAAAGGTATTAATTGCAACGTAAAATGTATAAAGTAGAATGAAATTACCATTTTTTGAAATTACCAATTCATTGAGCATTAAGAAGCTGACATCCTAATTTTAACTGGATTTTTTTTTTTTTTTTCTTTTTTTCAGCTGCTCCCTTCTTCAGGGGTCGCTACAGTGAACTAACTCGCACCGAGACTTGGCAATTGTTTTTACGCTGGATGCCCTTCCTGACATAGCCACAGACCACCGAGCTACCACAGCCCTCTGTGTGGAGCAGAGAGCTGCCATCTAGGGCGCTCGACTCGGGGGAGCAGATGGTGAGGGCCCAGCGTGAGACAAATGATGGTGGAGGCAGGTGTGGGTGCTTTACCTTTCCCACCCACATTTTGATGTTGTCGGTAGGGGGGGGGGGGGGGGTTCGACCTAATGACCTTCCGATCAAAGGCTTGCCTTCTCTAACCTCTGCGCCACCACTAACCCTTAAGTGGATAAAAACTGGATGTAATTTCAATAAATATATTAATAGTAAGTCTAATTTAGACATTCCTATTCAATTTTCATGACCTGAGTGACCAAAATAAACTCATTTTGCACCTAAACCACTGTTTTTAAGTCTCGCTTAAAAACCCACTTTTATTCTCTGGCTTTAGACACTGTATGATTTGTTCTTAACATGTCTGTATTCTACAGTGTTAGCCATTTACGTATGTAGTATCTTCTTCCATTCGGCTCTATGTATTTTAATTTTTATTTTATTTTATTTGTGTGTGTGTGTGTGTGTGTGTATGCTTTGCTTATTTGTTTCTACTGTACAGCACTTTGGTTGGTCTGGTTGCTGTTTTAAGTGCTCTATAAATAAAGTGGTATGGTATGGTATGGTATGGTATGGTATGGTATGGTATGGTATGGTATGGTATGGTATAGTATGGTATGGTATGGTATGGTAAACTGCAGACTAAAGAACTCTTGAGTGAGAGCTGAAATGTCTATAAACCACAAGAAGTCCAGTGGACTTCTGTTTAAAGCCTCAGGTCATCCAGCATTTCCTCACTTAAGCCGGAAATACATTCCTACCTTTCACCATCCTCTTCTTCCCAGGTTCAATTTCCTGTATTTTTTCAAAGCACTTTTTTGCCTAAAAAAAAAAAGAGAACACATTCCTTCATCAACGCTTGTTTTAATGCTCTACTGATCTCCCTCCATCCATTATCTTTACCCGCTTCATCCTTTTCAGGCTGCAGGGGTCACTGGTGCCTATATCCAGCCATCATTGTGTGAAAGGCAGGGAACACCCTGGACAGGTCTCCAGTCCATCACAGGGACACATTATAGAGACAAACAAGACAAACAACTATTCACTCTCTCACTCTCACCTAGGGACAATTTAGAGTTACCAATCAGCCTAACATGCATGTTTTTGGTCTGTGGGAGGAAACTGGAGTACCTGGAGAAAACCCACAGACACACAAAGAGAACATGCAAACTCCACCCAGAAAGGCCCCTGACCAAGAGTTGATCCGGCATCCTTCTCACTGAGAGGCAGCAGCTCTACCAACTGTGCCGTCCCGAGAAAAAAAAAAAAAAAAAAAGTTTAAAACTGAAAACTATGGTACCTTTTTATTAATTGATATATGCAGGTATTAAAGTTATATATGAGGCTATTTTATATTCAAAGCTTTTATATATTTATGACAACATGTTTTAAAGAAGATCCCCAGACATTGATTTAATTAGGATTGGTCCAGAAGTTCTTCACATGCAGCACGACTGATTTCTACTGAAGCCTAATTAACATTATTCAAATTTAAAGCTTACTGCTATTACACTGTAACCTGTTTTTTGGTCTGGGTAAGTGAAATGTTACGATATGCTCTCCGTAGAGCAACTATTAAAATGAGAATGTGTGATTAGCCTTAATGAGAGTCAATTATACAGACCTCATTATATTCCTTCAATCCTTGGTATGCTTTGGCCATATGTAGGTATGCCTTTATACATCTCTCATTACACTGAAAGAGAGAAAATGATCATGGAAGTGGGTTACTTAAAGCAATTCATCTAAACATCTGGCTATCTACACATCTGCACATCCACATAATAGCAAATGTATGTTTCTGCATTGATAACAGTACAAGTGTGAGAATGATATATTCAGTCTCAACTTATCATCTGTGCAGCACCAATATGCTTACATAAAATTATTAAATTAAATTACTTGAGAAAATACTCGTTTAAAAAGAAAAATCATGGAAACAGAGATTAAAAAATTATTATTAAGCAAATTTTTTATTCATTAAAAAATAGTATTTTAATCAGAGACCATTTACAAACTGATGTCATCAGAAGTCTGCAAAGCATTAGAAGTTTACCTTACCTTCAAGGCCCATTCACAGTCATCAATAGCCTCCTTATATCTTTTCAGCTTGATGTAGGCCTAGACAGGTTTAAAAGTTAAACACTAGTGTCAAATAGAGACTGACAAGAAGTAACAATAGCTACTAACTTTTTTATTTTCTTTTTTTTGTGTGTGTGTATGTGTTTCTTTGGTAATAATATAAAGCAGACGGAAGTTTAAAGTTGTAAAAAAAAATTACAAGTGCGTGTGCCAACAAGCATGCTAAAATTAACATCCAGTGAGGAAACTTGACAACCAAGTGTTAAATGAATATATCACAGAGGTGAGCATTTCATCACAAGTTTTAAAAGAATCATCACCAGCATGTTGCCATTTGCTGCAAATATGTATTTGTGATGTTTGCCATACGAGCTGAAGAATAATATCAACTCAAATAATTAAACTATATTGTAATGATCTATTTTTGTTTGTTTCTTTGTCTTTATCTTAGGACAAAGATATAAAACCAAAGCTGAAGTTATTTACTTGTGCTCTGTTGGTGTAGAGAGGCAGCATGTCCTTTAGTTCAGCCAACCCTTCACTGTAAAACGTGACAGCAGTTTCATAGTCCTCTTGAACATAAGCTTCATTCCCCTTGTCTTTGAGAGCTGCAGTGATACAGTGCAACAATTAAAAATGTTCACAAGCTCAAGAAAGCAGCAATAACAGCTCCATAAACACTCGCATACCAGTGGCCTTTTTCACTTTTGCCAGTCTCTTTGTTCTACGGTCGTCAGCATCTTTCTCCATAATCTTCATAAAATTCTCTGACAGGAAAAAAGAAACCTTTAAAACCATAAAAACATAAGCTTAAAGGGCAATGTTTTTTTTATCATTTGGTGTGAAGACAGTGAGGTCCACAGCAATGTTTTTAGATCATGTGTAACCCTGATAGTGCAATTTGAGTTTCTTTAAATATTCCTGACCTAAATTAAAATGTTCAGTCAGGGTCTCTTTTAATGCTAAAATATTCACACAAAGACAAGTATGATGTTGCAAAAGGGTAATAAAAACTGTTTCTGGCTGCACAGCCTCAAGCATAAAGATTGTTTTCCTTCCTTATGAATTCCTTGTGAGGTGTGTTCATTTCTATTTAAAATAAAACCACAGACAGAAATGTGAAATGTTTAGATATTTTCAGCTTTACTGTTATTAATGACTTCTGCGTCACTGAGTCTCAGGAAAACTTGTCACTATAAAGCATGTTAGTATATAAACATACACCGCATGCTATTTTAGAGCTGTTTTTATTTTTCTATGTCCTGTATAGCACATTTGTGGACTAAACAGTCGTGTCAAGTATTTCAATGCATGGTGTGCGAAGATTAAAACAATACCTGCTTATTGTTCCAGGTATCTATGGCAACTTCTTAATTTGTCTTGATTTTTTTTTCCACTTCAATTTGGACTTATTTATTAGAAATTAACCTTTTCTTTATTATGCAGAGCATAAATCTGATGACGAAAACTGATACTTTTGTTTTTATTGTGGCTCACCTGGACTTTCATTCTGTGGACACTGTAAAACAAAGAAAATCAAAAGAATGTAAACAAAAGTCTTACTGATGTGACAAGATAGACAACTTAACACAACAAGACATTGTTGGTGGCATTTACACGCTTGAGGTACAATGGTAAGACAGAGAAAGACACAAAGAGACAGACAGTGACAAAAACTGAGACAGACAGAAAGCACGAGTACAACAATACGTGCTGACTTTGTGTGCATGTTTTACCATGGAAGGACGGACTGGTGGATTTGTGTTGATTGTTGTCTTGTTAACTTTTGTCCGGCAGGGTTTATCCAAAGCAGTGATGTAGCAATCGGCCTTTGCCACGGCTTTTTCTTGCACGTCAACATCAGAGGACTGAAAGTCTTCCAGTAGCTGACCTGCGGAAGAAATAAAACAAGAGAAATTTGTGTTCCTGCTTTCTTAAAAAAAAGAATAAAAACAGAATCATAAATGAAAAGTACATTTGATAATCATTGGTCACATTTTGTACATGCATTAAATGTACAACGTTGTCTACAGCTTCAAATTATATTAGTGTTTATCTCTGCATATGTTTATACAACATTTTTTAATGATACATTTATAAAGTTAAACACATTAAGACTTACTTTTTTAACATTCATAAAAAACATAGTATATTTTTTTAAAACTTGAGCAAGTTATCAATAACTTTAAAAAAAAACTTTACATTTGTTGGTAAGTTATTTCGTGTAGCATTAGCTTATTTGGCCTGCTTTTTCTAGTACTTAAGAAAAGAGCCTGATAACAATTCAGCCATTACTTACTTATTTTGTCAACATTCTGCATAAAATGGTCAAAGTCTTCAAGATTATCCATCACGTGGTTACTAAATAAACCTTTTTTTGTTATCTATGAAGCTACGGAAGTTTGTTTTAAGCTAGCGCGCTGAGCATAAATTTCTCTTTAGACATCATCGTCACGGCGTCTGGTTACCATGGTGACGTGATGCTTTCAGGGTCACTCGTTAATTATTTGTAGACAATGGAGCTCTGCACTTTTTGTTGTTTTAGTTTTTTTGTTTATTTTTGTTTAGATATGAGCAAAATATTACTAGTAGTGAGCAAAACGAAGATTTTATTTACTGTTGTATCATATGAGCTTGTGTTACAAAACAATTTTTTTTTAGGGTTTTCGTGATGTGTGTGGTCACGTGAACATTTTGAAGACAGCTTTTCTCACCCTTTATTCAACTCTATGTTCAAATCAGAAAAAAAAAAAAGTCCAAATGCGCTCTTTCTAAATTGGAAATAATTTTATTTCAACTATTACTTTTTGATAGACTATTCATTCAACTTTAAATTGCCTTATTGTCAAACAGATTTACAATGTGCATCCATAGCTGTTTGTGAAATAAGTGAAGAGGGGAGAAATATAGAGTTAATCTTATCTCTCTCCACACTTTAGTGAATCTGCTTTAAAAACGACATTTTCACCTTAGAACAGGCCACACGTTGAATGTTTCTTTTTCAGCTCTTTACTGCCTTCATGTGGTGAAACTACATAATAGACAAAAACTGGAGAAAATCCATTTTGCTTTAATTTCCAAATAAATGAACAGAGATGTGCCGGAAAGAGGTCAGAGTCACTTCTTCTAAAAAAATTAAAAATAAAAAGGTATGAAATACAAACTAAAAGTTATACAGTCGCCACCAATTATGTTTTTTAAATTTTAAAAATCACTTGAATGTAATATTGTTAGGTACCTATATACAAATTTGAAACGAGATAGACAACTTTACACTGCTCTAAATGTATCATCAACAGGTAATCTGAAAATGCAAAAAATGCAAGTATTTTAAATATAACAAATATTTTTTATTTAAAAGCTGAATTTAATAATTCTGTACATTTTATAGTAAATAGACTGTAGCACCTTTCTATCTAAGCAAGATACTCAAAGTGCATTACATCATAATCTGTGCACTAATTTAACTCCACACACACATTTATACAGCTCTCTTCTAGATCTCTACAAAGCTAATCTGAAGAGACAAATCAGTACTTTAGATCACATTTATACACCAATGGGACACACATCAGAGGCAATGTGTCTTGCCCAGGGACACGTCAACAGGTGACTGCTGGTGGAATTGAACCCCCAACTCTCCTTACTCTCCCATTGGAGGACAACAACTCTAACCATTCAGCCACAGCTGCCCCAAGTCATCCCACAATAAATAGAAACAGTCATAAACAGCTTAAACTAAGAAATGAATTACAATAATTGTAATGTTATGAAGCCACTGACATACTGCCAATTTGTACCAAATGTAACTTTTTTAATCTTTAAAATTAAAGTTAACAACAAGAAAATACATTTAATCATCCATCCATCCATGCATTTTCTTCCGCTTATCCGGGGTTGAGTCGCGGGGATAGCAGCCTAAGTTGGGAGGCCCAGACTTCCCTCTCCCCAGCCACTTGGTCCAGCTCCTCCGGGGGAATCCCGAGGCGTTCCCAGGCCAGCCGAGAAACCTAGTCCCTCCAGCGTGTGCTGGGTCTTCCTCTAGGCATCCTCCCGGTGGGACGTGTCCGGAAAACCTCTCCAGGGAGGCGTCCACGAGGCATCCTAAACAGACGCCCAAGCCACCTCAACTGGCTCCTCTTGACGTGGAGAAGCAGCGGCTCTACTCTGAGTCGCTCCCGGATGGTCAAGCTTCTCACCCAATCTCTAAGGGAGAGCCCAGACACCCTGCGGCGAAAACTCATTTCAGCTGCTTGTATCCGAGATCTCGTTCTTTCGGTCATAACCCAAAGCTCATGTCCATAGATGAGGGTAGGAACGTAGATCGATCGGTAAATTGAGAACTTCGCCTTTTGACTCAGCTCTCTCTTCACCACGACAGACCTGTACAGCGCCTGCTTCACTGCCGATGCTGTACCTATCCGCCTATCGATCTCACGTTCCATTTTTCCCTCATTCGTGAACAAGACCCCAAGATACTTGAACTCCTCCACTTGGGGCAGGACCTCCTCCCTGACCCGGAGAGGGCACTCTACCCTTTTCCGGCTCAAGACCATGGCCTCGGATTTGGAGGAACTGATCTTCATCCCAGCCGCATCGCACTCGCCTGCGAACCGCTCCAGCAAAAGCTGTAGATCACGATCTGATGAAGCCAACAGGACCACATCATCTGCAAAAAGCAGAGATGCAATTCTAAGGCCACCAAAACGGATACCCTCAACATCTTGCCTGTGCCTAGAAATTCTGTCCATAAAAGTTATGAACAGAATCAGTGACAAAGGGCAACCTTGGCGGAGTCCAACTCTCACCGGGAACAAGCCCGACTTACTGCCGGCAATGCGGACCATGCGGACCAGGCTCTGACACCAGTCATACAGGGACCTAACAGCATGTATCCAAGGGCCCGGTACCCCACACTCCCAGAGTAACCCCCACAGGATTCCCCGAGGGACGCGGTCGAATGCCTTCTCCAAGTCTATAAAGCACATGTAGACCGGTTGGGCAAACTCCCACGCACACTCCAGGACCCTGCTTAGAGTGTAGAGCTGGTCCAATGTTCCATGACCAGGACAAAAACCGCACTGCTCCTCCTGAATCCGAGGTTCGACTATCCGACGGACCCTCCTCTCCAGAACCCCCGAAAAGACTTTACCAGGGAGGCTTAAGAGGGTGATCCCCCTGTAGTTGGAACACACTCTATAGTCCCCCTTTTTGAATAGGGGGACCACCACCCATGTCTGCCAATCCAGGGGAACTTCCCCCGATGTCCACGCAATATTGCAGAGTCACGTAAGCCAGCACAACCCTACAAGATCCAGAGCCTTAACAAACTCGTCCACCCCTGGGGCCCTGCCACTGAGGAGCTTTTTAACCACCTCAGTGACCTCAAAACCAGAGATTGGAGGGCCCGACCCAGAGTCCCCAGGCTCCGCTTCCTCAGTGGAAGACGTGCCGGTGGGATTGAGGAGATCTTCAAAGTATTCTGCCCACCGACCCACGACATCCAGAGTTGAGGTCAGCAGCACACCACTTCCACTATAAACAGTGTTGATGGCGTACCGCTTTCCCCCCCTGAGACGCCGGATGGTGGACCACAATCGTCTCGAAGCCATGTGGAAGTCATTTTCCATGGCCTCTCCGAACTCCTCCCATGCCCGAGTTTTTGCCTCAGCGACCACCCGAGCCGCATGTTGCTTGGACTGCCGGTACCCATCAGCTGCTTCCGGGGGCCCACAGGCCAAAAAGGCCCGATAGGACTCCTTCTTCAGCCTGACAGCATCCCTCAACGACGGTGTCCACCACCGGGGTTCGAGGGTTGCCACCACAACAGGCACCGACAACCTTGCAGCCGCAGCTCCGGTAAGCCGCTTCGACAATAGAGGCACGGAACATGGCCCACTCTGACTCAATGTCCCCCACCTCCCCCAGAACATATTTGAAGTTCTCCCGGAGGTGGGAGTTAAAACTCTGCCTCAGAGGAGACTCTGCCAGACATTCTCAGCAAACCCTCACAATACGTTTGGGTCTGCCAGGTCTGACCAGCATCCTCCCCCACCATCGGAGCCAACTCACCACCAGGTAGTGATCATTGGACAGCTCCGCCCCTCTCTTCACCCGAGTGTCCAAGATATGTGGCTGCAGATCAGATGAGATGACAACAAAGTTGATCATCTAACTGTGGCCTAGGGTGTCCTGGTGCCAAGAGCACATATGGACACCCTTATGCTTGAACAAGGTGTTCGTTATGGACAATCCATGATGAGCACAGAAGTCCAACAACAGAACACCACTCGGGTTCAGATCAGGGGGGCCGTTCCTCACAACCACACCCCTCCAGGTCTCACTGTCATTGCCCACGTGAGTATTGAAGTCCCCCAGCAGAATAAGGGAGTCCCCAGGAGGTGCACTTTCCAGTACTCCCTCCAAGGACTCCAAAAAAGGTGGATAATCTGAACTGCCGCTTGGTTCATAAGCACAAACGAGAGTCAGAACCCGTCCCCCCACATGTAGGTGGAGGGAGGCCACCCTCTCATTCACTGGGGTAAACCCCAACACATAGGCACCAAGATGGGGTGCAATAAGTATGCCCACTCCTGCTCGGCGCCTCTCACCAGGGGCAACTCCAGAGTGGAAGAGTGTCCAACCTCTCTCAAGGAAACTGGTTCCAGAGCCAGAGCCACAGGTGGTGAGCCCAATCACTTTAAAAAGTTACACAATTAGTCATGTTTATTTTTAGCTTCTATCTTTATAAAAATAGAAATTTTTCAGGAAACATCTGTCTATGAAAGTAAAAGAGTAACGTTTTGGAGCAATTGTGCAAAAGCGTAAAGAGCTATTCAACTAAACTGCTCAGGGGGGCACAGTTTCTGAAAGCCAGCAGCTCAGGGACCAAACATCCAGCAATTAAAGTCATTATGTAAATAAACTAAATATTACAATGATCTGTTACCTTTTAAATTTGTTTATTTTGTTGCATTAAATCATAAATGAATCATAAATGCAATAAACAGAACCCAAAACGCAGACACACACCCCCCCCCCCACACACACACACACACAAAAAAAAACAACATTTTTTTTTTAATGAACACATATATGTGTTGGACTGGAGTCACCAGTTGAATGGCTCCACGCTATTGAATAGTCCTGGACTATAGCTATGTAGTTAAATATTAAAAAGATAAACATGCAAAAGGCTAAATCAAATGTTTACAGTGTAGCAACATCACAAAATTTTTACACTTTTCCTTTGCATATTTTAAATCAGGATACCCTCACTGCTTTGCTAATTTAAACCTTTAGCCACATTTACTGCTACAAAGTCAGTTGTAACTTAAAATACTATTTCAAG